GCATTTAAGCGACTTAAAATATTTTAAAGCTTTTATTGATAAAGATATATCGCTTACTAACTTTTACTTTGGAACTTCAATAGTTCTTTTCAAGTATGGATTTCAATGTTTAAAGGTGTATATTTAATTGGTTTAATTAATAATATAAATAATAATATTTTTAATAACATCGTATCAGTTATAAATATATTATATATACAAATAAGTAATTATATATTATTGCCCATAAACATGCAGTTTTATGTACAATTTTTATGACTAATTATACAATTAATTAATTTAAACTTCCTTGTATAATGTACGTTCAAGATCTCGAACTAATCGGTATATTTGAGTCCGAATAAAATGTTATTTGTATAATATCTGTATAATTTTTACATATAAAATAACAATTTTATCAATTATTAGAAAGCTGTTAATGTATATTATAAATATTGATTATAGAAATAGAGAATATAATATCGTTTTAAACGTAAACTTTCTATCTGACGTATGTATGAAGTATTTCTACGAAAGCAAAATTCGTTCAACACTTTCCTTTGACCTACCTGGCTTAATGAGTGACTAAAAACTGGTCTGACTTCGGAGTTATCTTAGCGGGCGGCGGGCAAGTGGGTCGGTCAATGACACTTTGTAACCCAAATATACGAAATGTATAATGACTCTTGTTTTAATTGATATACATCTATTGTATGACTTACTATAAGAATTAATACACCAGCTTCTTTGTCACTTATCTTGCTATAACATTACATTTAGACGATTTTATTATTTTCGAAAATAAATTTTTCATGCTTAGTTCGAATTTATTTCATCGAATTCAACACAGTCTTGACCAAATTTTTATCAATAAATCTCAGAAAACGTATGTATTAAAAGAAAACACAATAAATGTATATACTGTAAAATGTATTGTATAATTTTTTATAAGAAAATTTTCTTCATAACAAAATCACGATGATTTACTTGTTTAATTTATACAGTATGTAAAGGTTTATTCCTCGTTATATAAATAAAATTATATCATAATAACAACGCCAAGTCGAATACAATACTACTGTTGTTTACTCTCGTTGGAGTTATATTATTTTACTATGAAGTATGAATCAGTTTCAAATCTAATGTATCTTGATTTGTGACTCGCAAATCTATAGTACACGTGTCTAGTCATCTAAGCGAGTGTTGCAACGATGGTCACCAATCGCCACATGCCACTATCTTTCGCAATGCCACCGCTCACTCGATGCGAAATACTATTAGTAATTCTTATAAATCTCGCCCATTCCGATACCACTTGGTATTTAAGGGGGCTACTTGGACAGAGCCTTGGTCCTGTTTCTGGTTGTTTACTAAGCAAACTTTGATTCTGTTGGTAATGTCATATGAATGGGTCTTGAAATGTACGAACGAAAATATTATTGTAACGACTTGATAAACAAAAATCAATAAAGTATATATTTATTAATATTAATGTCAATATTATATATTAATATTAAAATGCATTATAAATCACGAATAAGTATAAAAAGCTTCATTTATTCAGCTCTATCTTTATGTAGGTTCGATCGTATAAATTTAATTTAATCTATAGTCCTTCCATAATGTTTGGTATCTGAATAGAATTGCCTTGTGGTGGGGATGTGGGGGGAGTCCAAGGCCGTCCGCGTGACATACTTGCATCCCACCACATTCACCTTCCACCACTGCCAAGGTTGTCTTGCAACATCTAACACAAAACGTATACTCGACATCAAAACAGAAATATTTCTCAACCCTGAGACCGAGTATACTCATCAAGTTCAAATCATGATCGTTAAATAAAACCAGATATTTTGTAATCAACGTGAACTTTAATGGTCAGTCGTTACCGAGATGTTTGGATTATCAAAAGAAGGGCATGCACTTTTGCATCGGTTGGGTAAATGAATTGTAATAGAATAGAAACTATAAACGCATTCGGAATAAATTTTGTGTGAAATCGTAGAGACTTTTCTGGTAAATTATTCATGTGGCCTGCGACGTACGGACTTTCGACTGTTCTCATGAAAGCCTTTCACTCTTATAGTATGATGATTTTGAATCTCGTATTGTCGGATAATAATTAATAAACCTTTCTTTATTATCATAACAAGTATTTGTTTAAAGGTTCATTTCTGTTGTTTTTCATTGATTGGGGTAGGAAATATATGAATTATGTATTACGGAAATGTATTCGGTACGGATAACAGATGTTACACAGAAAGTGTGTTAATAAATTGTATGTTCGACGGTGCGTTAACGACACGCCACAACCGATCTTTCCCGTATACAGTCCCGTTGTCTCCATTCACTGTGAAGACACAAATTAATCTAAATAATTAAACCCTAGCCATAGCTATAATCTCCTGCGGTTATACCTTAATACGATAATGTTTATAAGTTATTACGCATGATGATTCCATTGTTGATCTTTGTGTAAGATAATTGTTAATAATTTTGCGTATAATAGTGTTCTATTCGAATATTTTTATCCGAAGGTCGGTCGTAATAAATGAATTGGCTATCAAATTTGATGTTATAAAAGATTTTTAACATAACACAGCTGTATGGGTTACACAACGTGGATGTGTCGATGGTTTGGTAAAGTCAAAGGTACGGTTCAGGGACGTATTGCTAAGTCTGTTTGGACGACGTGATAGAATGGTTCCGAAGCTATGATTTGTTGTCTTTAAACAACTATAGTATATAGCAAACAATTTACTTAGATTTCTTCATATATTTAAGTTGTATATATGGTTAAAATTATTTTGCTCAAGATTCTTAATATGATCTGTTGTTTACTGATAAGTTTAATTAAACCTCATTATTTTCGCGTATGTTTCCAAATGTTTTTTTAAATTATTTTAAATAGAAACTCTATCGTGTATTTATGCAGTTTGAATAAACGCGAACAGACCTAAATGTTTAAGTTAAACAACATCGTCTTAATTTTAAAGTTTTGGTTATTATAACATTATATTTGAAACTCAGAATCTCTCGCAAAAACGAACAGTATAAAACGAGCTTTTGTATTTAATTTCAAATCTACATGTTCCATCAAATATGCCATGATCAATGTTTTTCCAAATAGAATTTGTCTATAGTCACTATAATAAACTACTAAAAAACGACAAAACAAATACCACATTATTAGTCAGGTCTACTCAATATGTTGTCCAATTTATGAATACAAAAATTCTCAAAACCACCATTACTGTTTTTATACCGTTAATAAAGCCGTCGAAATTAATTATTGTTGTCATACATTCATATGTATATCTAACTCTAAGGCGGGTGGTGTATTTGGGACCCATAAAATACGTGTATAATTCGTCCTTTCGTCTCATATCCGGTGAGTGTATGTACTATGTAGGCTAGCAGGTGGCCGCTGTTTGTTAATGTGTAGAGTGATTCCGAAAGCCTTGGAAGCGATGCGGCGAAACGTCTACTCTATTAGTATGCGACAGCATTACAACTTTCTACGCATTCTTGGTGCCAGCCAGAGAAATTAACACCGCTATACTACAACGTAATTATAGATCTTAAGTTTTCATCTAATAGGTTTAGTGTTACGTAAAAATAATATCAATAAAATTTAATTTGTTGTAGAAAATTATTAATTTCAAAATCATGAATAAATATTATTTTTTATAATTCCAAAATATGAAGTTAAAGTGTGGTATAAATAAAGAAAAATCATTTAGTTTTTTTCACATGACTTTCGTATTATGGCGCGACTTGGGAGATGCTTATGTCCAGCCGTGGACCAAGAGTGGCTAAATAATTATGGAAATTGTTTTAAATTTTCTACTTAAAAGAACATTTACTGTGATACCTTAGTTTGATTATTCGGTCTAATAGAAAAACGATTTTCTACTATAAAATCAAAAGATTAACAAGACACATCGCCAATTATATTAATTACATATATGTATAATATAAATATGATGTGCACATATCCTAAATTAAATTAAGTAATATAGTTTCCAAACGTGTCGGTGTTTTATAAAAGAGGCGGTTGTCATTGAACTGAATATTTTTAACAGCGTTTATATGAATTATAGTATTTTAATAACTTATTTAGTAGTTTAATTTCAATGGATGTTGAGAGCAACGCGTTATTTTAATGAGAATTACGTACATTTTAGCTGTTTTGGATTAAACGAGAGAAATTTAATACACGCATACAAGAAATCCTTTAATAATTTCAAATAAATGCTGTCATAGATTTATTCCTAATTAATTTTTATTTCTTCTTACTATACAGAAAATTTAACTGAGTTAAAAAGTATAAATATCATAAACTGTAACTCAAATTTTTGGATTACATTAAAAAATATCTAAAAACACGATTTGGAATAACACTTATTAGTGAACAAACAAAATCCATTTCCAACAGGTTATTTCAAACGCCGGATCCGCAGTAATTAGTGGCTTACATCCGCGAACAGAATACAAGAAAATCCCTTTACTGTTTGTTTGCGTAATGTATTAATGTATTGCGTGGATTTACAGTAATGTATTGGGAGGATTTTCATTTTTCTGTTGTAATTTTTTGGCCAGTATTTTTAATGAAATCTCTGTAATGTCGAAATCGCGGCTTAAACTAACATCGTTCCGGAGAAAGAGCACGAAAAATGTAACAATTATACAATTTAAATTTGATAGCAAATTAATGTTTATGAATTTGAATGTACACCGAACATTACATTTTTTTAAATTAAATTCTTTCACTAATTAATTACATTTCGTTTATATAAAGAAATCCTTTACTATATATATATATATGAAATATAATTAGATCTAAGACTTTCGCGAGTATTAAAATGAAACCACATCTCGTCTGCCCGTGATCATTTTTTCAAAGTAGCCGAAACGTCGCGAGTATGTAGTTTAAAATAATAAATCCTCCTAGTAAATCCTTCTAGTAATATTGGTTTTATTTATATAATGTATAAAAATTTTCTTTTTTTCTTTGCCAGGTGGCAATGGCTGGTGATTTTATCCTCGCTGTGGCATCAATGATGATAGCTCGTCTCCGCAGTGATGAAGTCACGCTTGTGCTCAGTCAGGTTTGTGTCATGGAACTTTATTTTTATTACACACATATAATTTATCTTTAATCTGTATTACTAATGCGAGGAAACAATTAAACGTATAAAACCTCTTTGGTGTTATACCGCTTTGTTTTTTTTCTGTTATGTTATTGATGAGTTATTTTTGGTAATTGTGATAATTTTTTTGTTATTTCAGGTGGTGACGGACTTGGTCCAGGGTGAGTTCATGCAGCTCGGCAGTAAGGAGACCGAGAACGAACGTTTTGCACACTACCTTACCAAAACATATAGAAAAACCGCCTCGCTCTTCGCTAATTCAGTCAAAGCGGTATGTTATTTTCTGTTGTTATAAACGAACTATGAAATATATTGCAACATTAGAATTAATAGGATCGTGTGATTTCTCAGTCTCTCAATAAAAGGAAAGAAAAATCCAATCCATAGCCAGTTTTCTTTTACAAATTTAAATTTAATTAATAATTAGTTTTTCCAATCATAGATGGCGTTAAAAATGCAACAATAAATATCAAAACTGCCGATAGATGGCGCTATTAATAATGACGTTGACATTTAATTCACATCGATAAATTTGTATTGCCAGATAATAGTATGGTAGAGCAATAATAATTATCAAAACTGCCGATAGATGGCGCTATTAATAATGACTTTAAATTACATGAAATAGTTTGTGTCGTCATATAATTAATAGTATTGTATTTTTTTTGCAGGTGGCGCTGCTATCGGGCGCAGACGAGGCCACCTGCGAGCTAGCGTTCCAGTACGGTCGTAATCTGGGACTGTCATTCCAGCTGGTCGATGACCTCTTGGACTTTGTGTCGTCTTCGCACGGTATGGGGAAACCGACCGCGGCTGATCTTAGACTAGGGCTGGCGACCGCACCTGTACTGTTTGCATGTGAAAAGGTAAGGATATCGTAGTTTTTCATGATAAATCATTTTATAATGACTGTAAATTTGATACGTTACATATGAATATGATTGTGATAGAGGAAGAAAAGTTAACATTGCGTTAGTATGCACTATTTGTAACGCACTTTCCCGTAGATTTCAATAATAAACTCTGTCACTGTAAAAATCTTTTACGAAATTATTTATTTTCTGTTCGAATTTGCTAACTTATTTTTATTTTAATTGTAATTCCAGTACCCAGAGCTGAATCCTATGATAATGAGGCGATTCCAAGACGCCGGTGACGTGGAGAAGGCTTTCGAGCTGGTTCATAAGTCGCGGGGCCTCGAACAGACCCGGTTCCTCGCTCGCAAGCACGGCCTCGAGGCGGCTCGGCTGGCCTCAGAGTTAGCAGACTCGCCTTACCAGAAGGCTTTAGTCGTAACCACCGACCTTGTACTCAATAGGATCAAATAGGGTTGCCTCATCTTCGTGCGAGCTGCTAACTAGGCCTGCCACAACTTCATACTGGTCTGTACCTAGGGTTGCCACGAATACATGTTTGTAACCAGGGTTGTCACAACTTCATACCGGTCTGTACCTAGGGTTGCCACGAGTACATATTCGGTAACCAGGGCTACCACGAGTGCATATTCGGTAACCAGGGCTACCACAACTCCATGCCGGTATGTAACCAGGGCTGCCACGCCGTTTAGCATTCAAACCGCACTATCGAAAGGCATCCACGGTTCTCAGCTTATTGTACTCCATATTGGACTGCTAGTCGAGCTCGATACGAACAAGCTTCAAAGTACTTTTTGGTACATAAAAGGGAACCTCTAAGTACTTTGTAAGCATATATGAAGTCGTCGGAACTTTTAACATATATAAAGCTTCGGCGATCGGAATTATGGATACCTTTTTGAAGGTAAAGTGACATTAAAAGTTGATTGTATTAAGTTTTGTGTATTGTGTGTATGTTTTAGGTATAGTAATGAATGTTTTGTTTCGTGTGTCCGTGCGTAGACGCACATCGTGAGTCGTGAGTACTCGTCCCAGTAACATGACTTGTAGTTTTATTTATTTAAAGTTTAATTTTTTTCATTATTGTTTTTGGTAATTTTCTTTCATCACTTGTGTGACCTGATGTATTTTTAAGTTTTTTTTTCTTCTAGCATTGTATCTTTCGTGAACTGTTTTTAACCGCTTGTAGTGTAAGCGTTATATCCCCTGTTACCAAATACAGATGTACATAATAGTACGATACTTTAACTATTTCAGTAGTTGTATTGTACATAATGAGACAACATTAGTTTATGAACTAATATGTACACGTAAACATATATTAGTTATGTATTTGTTCTTTTGTTTTGTGCAATTTAATTGAACGGCTCATTTCAGTACCTGTAGTACTTTTTTTGTTTCTTACCACGCCCACAAACAGATCGGCTATATATTTGTACATATTCTAAAGTCATAATTGTTTTACTTAACAGTTTTTATCTTCGGAACCAATTACCTCAATTTCTTTAGTATGTACTAGAGGTATCTTACTTAGTATTAATATTTTGTTTGTAGCCTTTATCTGCACACTGATCGAATGGAATGTATGTCCGTATGTAACGGTTTTGGAGATAATTGTAAATAATAGCGAAATATTATAATACAGTTATATGGAAAAATTAATTGTTATCAAGTTTATATAAACACTTGTATCAAAATGTTAGTTTTTATGTATTTGATTTATCGTAAATGATAAATCTTAATTACTAGGAATGTTTGCGTTATTCGGGATTTTATTGAGATGAAACATTTTTATGTTTTATTATTGTATAGAAATAAAAATGTACATTACGTTAAACGGGAGTCAATGATATTTTATTTATATAAATATATATTTAGTCATATTAAATAGATTATATTGTTTGTAAATATTATAATTTTTGTAAAATGCTAATCACGAATAATTTTATAAATATTAGTTACAAAAATATTGTTTTATTTAATAAACATGTCTATTCGATGTGGGTTTTTATTTTATTTATTATAAATCGTAATTTATATATTTTTTGATAATGTTTATTAATATTTGGAATAAAATTTGGTTTAAAAATTTTTTCAAGCAAATAAATATAAATTATGTAATTTAAATATGTATGCCAATATATATTTTTTACAATGAAATGTAAGGATGAATCAAATAGATCGTGTAGTTTAAACTTATGTCCATCTAAAGATCGTTTGATGGTTAAATCTTTATTGTCTTTAAGTGGAACCTATCTTTTCATATCTTGGATAGGCAATTAGCAATTTGGTTTTCTTAAAAATGTATGCAATCTCGAAAAGCAAGCTTGATTTATCCAAGGACTAGTTTAAATCGCAGTGATGTTCAGCAGATTAATGATTATTCATGATAATAATGTAATAAAACATAGATTTTTCGATGTTTACCTGAAACTGGAGTAGAGGTTTAGAAGTAGAACTACGTTTTTTCTTTTATACTTTACCAATTAACGTAAAAAACGATAAGATTCAAATTAAGATTTACATCCCAGTTTGTTTTAAAAACATGAAATATTATTTTACCAATATTCATCTGTTATAGACCAGTAATCGAAGTTTTTAGAACATAAAGCAATAATATTTACTGTTTTTCAGCAAGAAGGAAAACATTTAAATGGTGAAATGAGATATAATTCTCAAAATTATAATGTTTTTTGCTGTTCTATGCATATCAAGACGAATACAACATCCGTAAATTTTCCTTTGAGGTTTACCACATGAAGTGCTTAACTTATTGATGGATAAACCTTTTACAGCAATCACAAAATTATTAATAACTTTCCTTATGAGAGTAGTAAGTTTCATCGTTTGATCTAAAGGGCGTCTTGAAAATACTGTACATCAGCGCTTCACCAATTGGTACAGCTAGATATATAAATTAACATAGTAATCTTCTTTGTTTCAAACGAAATATATATTGCAGATTAAGGAACAGGAGCAAAATGATTGAGTAAATTACAAAAAATCCACTTATTTATAATTAAATTATAACTTTTTTAACCTGTAATTCATTTAGTTTTGGAATGTAAATATTAACTATAGTAATATAATGCTGAAAAGATTTGCAATGACTCAGTACTTCGGTAACAATGCTGATAGCTGTGGTATCCAAAAGCTATTTGCTTTAAGTATATGATGTTACAATGTGGCGTGTTTGCGAATATTGATCGTACGGAGACAGGCACCGCTAGGACGAACGCCTTCTGTTAAATGACATAGAAAATTTAGACGCCCTTTCCAATGAAAAACCATTATTTTAGAATATGTCAAACTATTATATTCCATACTTATCTGTAATAAAGTTCATTATCAAATAAAATTCCAAGTCACTTCGCCGTGAGTGTTGCTTTTAACACTTCAATTATTTTAACGGTTTAATTGTCGTGACATATGTACATATTTATGAAGGTATGGTTATAATAATAAAAATTATTTTATGAGTAAATAATTTTTACATAAAGTATCGTGATTAGAAGCAATATTGTTTGATGGTTTTGCCGAATAAAAATCTATCTTACATACTTTAATCTGTCAGCAACGGTTGGCACGCAAAAAAATCGCATTACATACTTTATACAGAGAATTTATGATATCAATACCAAATATACCAACGAACATTTGTTATTTATTTGTAATGCAATTCAACTTTGACAACATGCTTTCTGACACTTACAACAATAGACAACGTCTCGTTAATTATTTGTTTCTGAAAAGGTTGTTACGATTATAGACAGCTTGACATATTTATGAATTAATTATCGTTCAGGCGTTATTATAGCCGAGTAATAATTTAGGGATGACTTTTGAATGTTTATCATAAGTATTGGATTTAAAATAAATCCCTTTACTTATAGTTATTATGCTTCCTATTTATGTATGTGGTGGATCGTGTATTATTATTCCAAGTACATATTAGCTTCTTCATTTATATTAATGTGTTGTATCCAACTAAATGGAAAAATAGATCGATATGCTGAAAAGTATTGGTGTGTGCTCTTTTTTCGACCAACAATTTATCATCCAAATCCATTCACACATTTAATAACTACTGTGTCCATGAACTCTTAAAGAATTTAATTATCTTTATTTAATATTATATGTATTTAATATCTTTTTAAATTTAACTTTTGTGTTATTTTATTGCAAATTTATTTTTATTATTATAATAAATACTTGCTGATGTAAAGGCCGAAATTCGTATATACACGATCACTCTTTGATAATAAGAACTTTTATCATATTACGGAAAAAAATATATTTGAACCAGAAAAAAATACCCCATAGGTAGGGTAATGGAAACATTTCCTGAAGCGTGTAGCTTTTCATTTATCGTACCTATTTCAGCATAACAAGAACGCAGTTGTATTCCAAAACTCGAAGAGTTAATGTAGAGGAAGTTGATTTTTATAAGTACTTTGAATAATTGTACTGTGTACATAAGTTATAAGTACTATGTACATAAGAAGTTATTATGTAACATAAATGTTTAGTTTAAGCTCACGTAGATTACGAAGGTAAGGTGATATTTCGATAACTTTTTTAGTAATCTACTACTTACAAAGAGTTTATTGATTTGAAATATGACAAAAAAAATGCCATCCGGTATTAGTGTGTGATTAATGGTTTTTATACTTGATAGTCTTAAAAGAACGTTGCTATGTTCAATGCTGTTTGTTTTCATCTACTGTAGATACATACCTATTGAAAAATAATTAGAAATGCATATGTCGCTTTTAACAATATACTCAGCTACTTAATAATAAATAATAGTACAATTGTACACTTATGTACACATTTATATTTAATATTACTAATTTCTTTTAAATTAACACTAATTTTATTTTATAGTCAGGTTTGAAGCCTTAAAGAGTAGAAAGGAATTAAATATATTGACATAACTACTGTTGATTTCTCAAGTATATTACATTAATCGATCAGTGATGGTATATCCAGCAAACATTTATATAAAAACTGTGGTTTATTAATATATGTAGGAGATTAAGTGCGCCAAGTTCAGGATCAGCTAGAAGACGAGCTCGAGAGAGATTGAGGGCAGAACAGACTCGAGCTGAAGGAGAAAAACTAGCTAGAGAGAGGAAGAAACAACGACTGAAAGACAAATTAGATCAACAGAAACAGGTTAACGAAATACGCTTTTAGAAGCTAAAATGTATGTGTCCACGTAGTTAAAATTAATTTCACATTAGTTTATAATGAGATCTAAGACTTGCGAGTATTAATTTCAATGAAACGAATATTTTCGGTTTACTTCGCGTTTAAATCGTTTGCTCGTGATTACGGTTGTTGCAATGTAACTGAAACGTCGGGAGTATGTAGTTTATAAAAATAATTAAGTAATGCCATGTAATCCGAAAATATTAGTTTCATTCACATTTTTTGTCGGTGTTAATATAATGATTGTTTAATTGAATTTAGTCCAAGTAAAGCATGATTTAGTTTAAAGGATCTACTAGTAACTTGAGGGGAATAAATTAATTAAGGGAACAAAAATCATGATTTCACTATAAGAACTTTTCTCGTTACTCACGAGAGAGAAGACAGTCAATAGAAAATTTATCAAAGCGTATAGTTTTTTTTTTATTTCAATAAATATTTAAAGACTAGAAGACCTGGCAAACTTCGTATCGCCCGATAATCAAGAAATATCTATTACGTATTTTTATTTATATTTTTGAAGTTTACCTGTAAGTCATAAATCTCCGTGTTTTGAAGTGCGACAGAATGATTTATATATTCGTTAGTTGTCAAATCTAATGTCAAAAAAAACGTTTGTATGGGAAATAGAAAAGGGCTGTTTTTATGGTTTTCCCAGTAATGAATAAATTTTTTTCAGCTTTTATACCTTCCCTGAATCTCCACGAACATTTCAAGACAAAGATAAGATAAACCCGTTCAGCTGTTCTCGAGTTTTAGCGAGACTAAGGAACAGCAATCCATTTTTATATATATAGACTAGTTTTTGCCCGCGACTTCGTCCGCGTTAGTTTGGTCAAGAGTAATATATGTAGGTGTAGCTGACCAGTCGAACTCTATTCCGTCTTACAGGCCATAAATAATCAGGTTTTTCCTGTTTCAATCAAACAGAATTGACATATTTGTTAGTTGTCAAATCTAATGTCAAAAAAAACTTTTGTATGGGAAATAGAAAAGGGCTGTTTTTATGGTTTTCCCAGTAATGAATCAATTTTTCTCACCTTTTAAACCTTCCCTGGACTTCCAGGAGTATTTCAAGACTAAAATTAGCCAAATCGGTTCATCCATTCTCGAGTTTTAGCGAGACTAAGGAACAGCAATGCATTTTTATATATATAGAAGATTATACAATAAAGTCATATAATTTGAATTTACTTTTGTGTGATATTTAATGATCATAATAAAAAATGTAATTTTAAGAGTACGTTGAATGTCAGGAATGTGGAACATTTATTACCTTTATTAGTATTGGTGAAGCACAAATCGACAGTTCGATAATGATCAGTACAGACAGCTTGGAGAAAATAAGGATATAGAATGTATACACATTTATTACGTTACCACATACGCAGTATGAAATTACATTGTTTAAAATTCGCCGCACCTCATTCCACGCACAGCTATGTTAGGTGTTTTCCAATTGTTACTCCGATGTTTATTTATTTTGAGGCATTTATATAATTTATTGCATATATTGTTTGAGCGTTCCATTGTCACTTTCATTGCGGTGAACATATGCTTTAAAAAGGCAGAGCATTTTCTATTTCCTTCAACCAATACACTACAAATATCAATATTTTCATTCGATGTGACTTAAGTTTTAAATTTTACTTTTGTTTTATAGAAGAGAGATTTTGTATAAGTTTATTTCTTTTTATTAATATTTGCGGTAATTATGATTTTCTTTACTTTGTTCTGTTAAATACATTGATATGTAGTTGGAGTGTTTTCTTTTTTTGCTCTAAACAATCAAACTTCGTAAAAAAATCTAATAAAACAGTTATTTATGTATAAGATTTTTATTTACTTTTATAGAATCAACTAAGCAATTTTAGACACTTTATTACAACTATCTTTTAACTTTTCAATTTGTTGAATACTTAAAATTGATATGAAGTTAAGTTTTAATTTTGTTACAATTTTGATTTAGATGAAAGTGTATAGGAAAAAATTCTCTTAAAGACTCAATGGTGTTTCAATACAGGCTCGTATAGAGCTGGCTTCTTACGAGCCCTGGGGCCGCGCTGGTGGCGGAGCTCCGAATCCTCGAGGCGTGAGATATGGAGATTTACGAGCTCTTGGTATATACCCAGAAGATGAACTCAAGGCAAGCATTCAAATTCTCAATACTAACCTTTTCTAATATAACCCTTATAAATAAGGTATCTTATAATTTATATTAACGATTTTTATAGTATATACGTGAGAGTACACGTAATAATTTACAGTAAATCACTTAAATGATAACCATGAATAATTACAACGTCAATTTTAACACATTATTCTTGTATGACATGAAATATTTTTAATTACAAAACATTACACAACGGATGTTAAATCGATATTGTCAGAAGGAATTAACGCATCTAAAAGCCGCGGGGCTTTTGATGATACAATTTTATAATAATGAAAAGCTATAACTTAATAAGGCAAGGGTCACGTTGCGTACGAAACGACCCGTGAGATCGATGCGTGACCGATGTACGGAGATGACATAACCAATGTGTGTTAATGGCTGTCCTGGGGTTATGTAAAATTGATACCAGTTTACGAACAGCTTTTAACCGACTTGGAAATTACGAGGTTATCAACAACGTACATTTTGTATCGATTTAAAGATAAAATCTTTTTTCAAGATATATATTATATAATTCTTCTTTTATTTTTGAAACATCATTTTCATGGAGTGATTTGGTTATTGAAAATCTCTTTCTTTGGAAGTGGTATCAGATTTATTACAAATCTTCATATTTTTTAAAGAAAACCTATTTTTATTATTATGTTTGTTAATGATACTTTCGAGGACTTCTTTCTTCTTGGAAGAAATATAACATAAAAACTTTTGAGGTTTAAAAAAGATTATTTTTATTAAGACTTATTACATATTTTTAACACTGTTTAATTTGATATTTAAACATATGAATTTTCAGTAGTATATTAGAGTATTTTTTATGTTATCACTTAAATTAAAGGGAGTATCAGCTCATGACATTTGTCGACGCTGGTGTCTTCGTACAAGACGTACTCCGATCCGTCTCCGTGAAGATCCTCAACTATGTTACTCGGAGATGCTGAGACAAACAGTTGACAACGACATCAGATATAAAAAATCACCCCATCAACAAGAAGAGTATAAGAAAATATTGGGTATGAAAGAAAATAAATATAAATCTTAGTTAATAGCATTCTCTAACATTAAACAACACATTATTTGATCTAGTTGATTTCAATGCAATACATAAAAAACAAGGAATATATCGATTTTGTAAGTAACCAAAAACATTGAATCCATAAATTCTGTTTGCAGACGATATGGTTGACAGGAGACAGAAAGCTATAAAAGAAGAGATGAAAAGAAATTTGGAATATGAACGCAAAATGGTAATAATATATAGTATAATGATGTTTGAAAATAAACTACTTATGTATATAACTTTCAGCATACTATGGACGGACCGTGGGGTAAACCTGGCCCCGGTGGTACAATTTGGAGGAACCCTCGAAATATTGGATTAAATTTCTCAAAGTCTATGGTAATGTGAACCAAATATGAATCCATTATACCATTGACTTTATTTAATTGTATTATATTATGATAGGGTTGGACGGATAACGAAATTTTCAACAAAATACGAGGCGACCAGAAACGTAAAAAATCGTCCCTAACTTTACCCAAAGTAAAGACAGCAGATGATGATTTGAAAAACGACGAAGTCGCTAACAAAGAGAATATAAAACCATCAAGTGTATCACATTTACCAGATATACGGAAACAATCGAACACAGATGACGGAAGATGTAATTACGTAAATAAGAAGGATGTCAGAGAAATATACGGAACTGAAGCAACTAGGAATCAAAAACCGAAGTTCGTAAAGAGATTATCAAACGGTGATAGAGTGAAACGTTCACTTGATAGTGATAATGTTGATGAGAAGAAACTAACACCAGAAGAAGCTATACTTCGTGTTACCGGCGGTATAGAACTAGTTCCTTTACTAGCGAGGCGAAGACGTGTAGGTGCAAGAACGCTGCCCTCGAGCGACGTCACACGACCCCCAGAACAAAGTTGCGAGTAAGTTAACCTGTTGGAAATGTTAATGCAATTAACAACTAACTGTAGGTACATACGTGCTTGGGTAATTTGTGAAATTATTATAATTAATGATGTATTTGATAGATAACGTTAGATAATAGTAGTACAAGTATTTTAATGGTCTTAGAAGAAAAATAATTCTGATATAAAATCGTTTAGCCAGAGCTTCTTTATCTATGATGAAATTGTATATCACCACATATTGGGACACTATTTATAAGTTTTCTAAACGAAACCAAAATAACTCATTTTTCAAAGCCATATTTCAAAAGATGGCTAATAATTAGGACGACCTGATTGTGTAATATTGAAATGTTGTAACTCAAAGTCGATACAGGTTACGTATAATCAAAAGAAATGGAAAATGCCGCATAATTTATTATTTAGATTAGATAATTTTGGCTTCAGTAATATAAAACTGAATTCTTAACCACTAAGTATAAAAGTAAAGAACAATTTTTCATGCAATTCACCTATGTCTAATGTTTAATTATTTTTCGATAAATTTTAGATGGAGGGAACTTCTTGATATGGAATATTTAAGAGAATTAAAACATCAAATGCGAGTAAAATGTGAAAAGAAAGAAGTGAGTGGATATATTATTTTATATATTACGTAATTTTTTTAATATGTATCCTCATAAATTTTTATTGCGTTAATAATGATGCAGAATTAATATAAATTTGTTGTGGTTAGTAGGAAAAATTATAGAGGAAGTATTGCCATAATATTAACATAGAAAAGATTCTTTAGAAACGTTTAATTTATAACACGAAGGATTAATAAGATATGAATTTATTTTAAATTTGTTTATATTTTATATTCAATTAATTGTTTTTTTATTGACACAATATTTTGCAATTGTATACCTTATGTAAACAGTAATATCTAAAGTTAGAGCCACATACCTCATTAAAACTATATTATTCCTTTATATCTCTTAATTATTTTAAAAGTGCATGTTTTCTATCAGGAGAAGCGTCGTGAGTCAGCTGAGAGCGTCCGTCAGCATCATACGACGTGGGCATCACTATGGGGTCGTCCAGGCCACGGCGCTCCTCAACGAGGTCGATACGCTCGTTCAAACTTGGCACAACTGTTGTATGTGCCGGCATTGAACACACATCAGACTTAACTGCGATGCCTTGATGATAACGAATGCATTACGAGCGCTGATGCGTTAGTGCAAGATGTGTTGAAGAATTCATTCGATGCGTAATGTCCGAATATTAATTGTTTTCTTAAATTGAATATAAATGTTTGTGATGACTAATATTTGATTCAAGATTTATTCTTCTAGTATGCTGTAATTTATTTATTTAATGTGCTTATGATAGTATCATAATGGTTATTTATAATTTTCCAAATTAATTATATTACAATTTGTGTCCATTCATATATCCCCTTTAGCACTATAGACATCTATAGCTATTAAAATATTGAGCATTCATTGGGATGTGTTTTTTAAGGTTCCTTTAACGAACAATAACATGGAAGCTATTTTATTAACAAACATGAAATTACAAACAAGAAGCGGATAAATTTTTAAGTGTGTTACGTACTGTGTCAAAACAATTTCAACAATACTGGTATTCAAACAATGTTGGCAGGCCTATGCGTTCATATTTATTTAAGCGAAAATGTTCTTTATGTAACATGCACTTAGAGGTATATAATATTTCACATTGGATAAAAACAGTAAATAGCTATATCTGTAAAATATAATTTACTAAAATAAAATTATTGAAATAATTAGAGAGAAATGAAAATATTTTTTGGTTGGAGGTGAAATTTCTCGGCATTCTATGGATTCGCCGTGTGGATGTCGGGTCTATAAGGTTGTAGGGAGAGGAGCTTCAACCCAAGTGTAGGTTTAAGGGGCCCTTATCTAACGCGTGTTAAACGCTCGCCTCCACTATCCAAGCTCCTCTCTGTACCTAACCAAATTTGAAACAAACCTATGTACTGAGGCTGAATGAATTGATGTTAGTTATGGCCAGGTCCAAGTCTTTTAGTAGGTTGTAGAGAAATTTAGCTGTTTTACTTCTCGCTCCCACTGCTACGGCGTACGATGTTTATTTCCTAATATATTTGTAAAAGTTTAGAAGTATCTCGAATACAAGTTTGTGTTGATCATTAACTGGAAATATTCAAATATTAAAAAATCTAAAAGGTCAGACGGGTTGGCATAGATTTTAAAATATTTCTTATCTAATCTTTTTTATCCGATCATTAAAAAATATTAATGAAAACTATGAAAATTATCTCTTTAAAATATTTAAAACTAGGTTTTTCTCCAGTTTGGAAGTTTTGTTAAAAGTTTATTATTATATTTACTTATTACTTAAGCGATCATATTAATAGGATTAGGAACTTGTAAATTTTTCCAAATATATTATGTTTTAAGGACTTTAGGACCATTTGTGAGAAAAATGTTTGATGTTATTAGCAAATATAACTTTTAACTATAAATTGTTCGTGGTTATTTAAAGTATTTATAAAAGTACTTGTAGGATAATTTGTAGTAATCTAGTTGTAAACTTGATATTTCCACTTAAATAGACGTTAATAAATTTAGTTAGAATGTCTCATAGTTTTAATCTCTTAAAATCAAAAAAGAAGCTCTAAAATTTTTCTCAAACAAACGTTGAAAGCATGTTTTATACTAAGATAATTTGTAAAATATTTATAATTATTAATGGACACTATAAATATTAAATTAAGATGCAAACAATGAGGAAAGGGATTAAATAAACAAAATTATAAAATAAATACTGACCTTTAATTTGTACTAGAATTCAGAAATAACAATAATATTAAAATTATCCTTCATTGTGATGAAATTCACTTCGTGAACAATTGTCCAAGTCTTTTCAAGACATTATTGGCTAGTTTCTCACAATTCCTAATAATATTTTCTTGCTCTATAAATCTCTAATTATAAGTCCAGGTTCCCTCACGATGTTTTCCTTCGCCGTCTGTCAGTGGTGTCTAAATACTATTAGAAAGTACGTATGACTCGGAAAAATCACATTGGTACTTGCCAGGATCGAACCCGCGCCTTCGGCAACGAGAGGCAGGCCCTTTAACCACTAGGCCACCACTGACTTATTAATAAAAAAAATGGAAAAATTTTATCTCATTGTTTTGTATTGTATAATTCAATATTGACTTTAATGCAATTTCACCACTTACGTGTCTTCTGTCATACAAATATCTATTTTTATTTTAATATAAATATTCCTACATTTATGCAATGCTCGTAATAAATAGAATATATTATATGCTATTTGTATTTTCTGTCTTATATAATCGTCTTTGAATACAAATCGTTTATTTCTTTTATTCCAGACCTGTTGTGTTATCGAACGGAAATTATTTTAACCAATCGATTCACACATAATATGATAGCTATTAAATTCTTTTCTTCACACCTTTTCATAGTAATTGAAGCTTTTACAATTGTAATTTTATAAGTGTATTTTTAACGATAGACTTTTATACATAAGTGTAATCTGCATTGCAATTTGCGAATTAATGCAATAATAAAGAATATTAACAAATAAAGGTCATTTAAAAGTAGAGAGAAATATTACAGATTTAAAACTTCTGTCAAAAGATTTCTTTTTGGGTTCATATAATATTGAATACAAAACCACTTCGGACTTAGTAATTAAATGTTTTAAACCCTTTTTTACTTTTCTTTGAGAAACAAAGATTTGTTTAATAATTCAAAGTAAAAATGTATTCATGTCAAATTTACTTTTAACAAAAAGTCACTTATTTTACCTTTATTTTTTTATCTTTCGTAGTATCTCTATATTTTTCTTACTCAAGTTTATATCTCAATTCAAATACACATTCTTTATCCGATTGCAATGAAAACTAAAATGAGTTTTATGATTTTTGTAACGATATCAAAGGTATCATTAACAATTCTCATATCCAAAACTAAGCTAATTAGACAATAAACTACAAAGTCTCATTAAAATGTGCTGCAATATAAACGCGTAAGAACTGGGTTGTTTAATAAATGAATTGAATGATGTGGAACATTTTGTAATATTCCCAAACTTAGATTTAGATTAATTAATTAGCATCACCTCATTATACTTTAACATATTTCGTATGGGTACCACACGTTAAGCAATATTGCCATTACTTTTATCTACTGGTACATTATCTGACGAAAAGGTATGACGAATTTAAATGCATAAAACTTTTAATTTTATCATGTATCAAGTCTTTCATATTACGTATAACTTCACGCTTCGACTGCATAAAAAGTCATGTCTGAAATTTTGTACGAAAACTTTATATATTTATTTAAAACATTTTTTTGAAAGAAATCATGAATAATATTAAACATGAGAAACAGGAATTAAAGTCACTCATATAAAAATAATTGTGTTGAAATAATAATGAATAACACAATTAATCATTGAATTTATAGCTTTGATTAATTAAAATACGTGTTAAAATTAATTAACGTACATCACACAAGCTGAAACATATCACACACGTCTATTGACAGAGAAATTTTTTAAACAAACAGAAATTGTACGTATGTATGTATATGTAAATGACGGGAGAAAGCATCATGACGAAACGTCCATAAAGTAGTAAAAACGGACATCTGAGTAGGTGCGGCTTCGGTTTTTAATTCCGACAATTTGTCGCGGTGTCACACATTGTTACTTACTTGTTATGTAACCGGAGACCATTCATCAGCGCGCCTAAAATCATGGAGGTAATTTCACTTAAGACCCTAGAAATTCTGATAACAAAGAAGTTATAACAATAAATTATGTGTCTTAAAAGTCAAATGTAAGAAATAGTTTGCATAAACGCATAAATATTTCATGCACTAAATAATTATAAATTAAAGATGTGTCATAATTTTTTTATTAAAATGAAAATGTTTTGAAAATTTTTGAACGTAAAAAACATTTTTTTGTACCGCTATATCGATTCTTCGTGTATCCATAGCTAATAGCTTAATTAATGGGCAAAAATTGATTCGAACAATCGTTTTCATTCACTTAGCTGACTTGATCAAATGAATGACACCTCCACGTCTAATTATACCTCTCATTTGTACACACGTCATGTTTGCATCGTAAGCAAGTTATGAATAGCTGCGAAATTAATCCTTTTAAAATCAGATAATTAAAGTACATCCTGATCTTTCTATAATTATAGCTTAAGACACATTAGATATAAATAATATATACTCACATCTTTTTAAAGATGAATTCTAATTCTTCTCTATATTATATATTATTATACATATGTGCCTAAAAGCTATATTTAAAGAATTTTATGAATGAATCATACTGCAATTTCTCTTACTTACATACTTTCTTTCTTATGTCTTGCAAATATTTTCCTTGTTAGTAATTACCTCATTGGCTTAACAACATAATTATCTTTTGAAATGCCTAGGCTCATTCTGTGTCAACACAATCTTAAATGTTTAAACAAAAACAAGTTTATGGGCAATTTAAAGTGTTAACTTCCTCACGAATTATGTTAATACTAGTCTGACGGATCCGCAGTTCTATGGAGTTATATCATCGTCTCATTTTGTTAAATACTTAATTAATTACACAACTTTACCTATCAGTGTATTATGTTTTATGGGAAATATTTGGTTTCACGCCGCTATTTTCAAAGTCGGAAAAGAAAGTTAAAGGTCGTTAGGAACAGACCGGTCGGCGCTCGCCTCCAACAGACATCTCATTCATAGATCGAGAAATAACATTAGAAATGATATTCTGCTTAAAATTACTCCTGATATTATTAATTTATAAGAAAATCAATTTTAAATTCACTCAACTTTAAGAATGTAATTTATTTTCAACCTCAAAACATGTCCTAAGAAAAAAATATGTCAGATGAAATGACGCATTAAAAATGCCTAATTCACGTAACATGTATTACATGGTTGTACAAAAAATATTGTCTCTCATCATGAGTGATTAATAACATTGGTTTTATGTGGGCGTAATATATTACGGTTGTTGTGACAAAATTACAGTAATTTGTATAAATGCACGAATCCACTCGTTTTATTATTTTTCTTAGGCAATAGTTTTGAGGCTCGTTTGAAAACAATTTCCGAAAATATTATAA